GGAGTTCTGCGGTGCCCAATTCCAATGTGGGTCAGAAGTTTTCAGACTTTCTCCTTAGGTCTGGAATCTTCTAAGAATGATTTTGGCCTCAGGAACTTGGGTGTTGGACTGATCTGAGATCCTGGCCGTGGCCGTGCCACGCAGGGATGCAAAGGCAGATGGGGTGGGAAGAAGCCCCAAGATTTCCCAGGGAGTGGATTGAGTAGCTGGGTTGTACTGGATGCAAACAATCAGGGAGAGGAAAGGTAAGCCTTGGAGCCCCAGAAAGAGGCTGTCAGCCCCAGAAAGAGGCTGGCCGGTGTTACAGGACCAGGGAAGTAGAGGGAGTTGAGGGCAGGGCCAGGTCCAGAAGCAGTGCTCCTGGGGCCCAAGGAAGGCACCAAGCCGGTCTGGGTGAAAAGGATCAGGAAGCAGCACTGGCTCCCCAGCTGTCTGGGGCCCCAAGACTAGGAATGACACAGGGCCCAAACTAGGAGTAGAGAACAGCGGGGGAGATGGAAGGGTGAATTCGGCTGGGGGAGTCAAGGTGCAGAGGGCTGCGCGATAGACCCAGCCCAAGAGGCCTGAGGATAGGAGAGCAGGTTGAGATAAAAATTTTTAAAGGAATAAACATTTCTTTTGGCTCATGGTTTTAGATGTATCAGTTTGTGCTTGACTGGTTCATTGCTTTCAGGCCTGTGATAAGACAGAAACATAGAAAGGCTTGGTGGAGGAAAGTGACTCATTTTTTGACAGCCAGGAAGCAGAGAGAGGAGGCACTAGGGACAGAGTATACTCTTCAAAGGTACCCCAGTGATCTTCCTCTAGTAGGCCCACCGCCTAAAAGTCTGTCCACTGGCAAACAAGCCTTTAACACAACATTCAGTCTTTACTTCCATCTTCACACAGCATTCTCCCTGTGTGTCTTTACCCTTTTGAGTGTGTCCAGTTTCCTTTTTTTTTTTTTTTTGGTCTTTTTTTGGAAATGGTCTCCCTGTAGCCCCAGCTCTCCTGGAACTCACTATGTAGACGAGGCTGGCCTTGAACGCACAGAGATCTGCCTGCCTCTGCTTCCTGAGTGCTGGGATTTAAAGGCATGCACCACCATGCCCAGCTCAGTTTCCTTTTTTAAAAATAAAGATGCTTTATATTAAGAACTACCCTAATGTTGCCATCTTAAGTCTACCAAGAACTTGTTTTCAAATGGGGTCGTATTTTAGGGCACAATTAACTTCAAATGCTGTTATTCTGTTATATATGTTTCTTTTTTAAATATTTTATTCTTATTTTATGTATATGAGTGTATTGTCTGCATGCAGGTAGGTGCACCTGTGTCGTGCAGTTCCTGTGCATGTCCGAAGATAGCATCAGATTCCTTGAAATGAGTTATGGATGGTTGTTACCTGCTATATGGGTGCAGGGAATCGAATTTTCTGAATTTTACAGAAGAGCTTTTTCATAAATCATGATGGCTATCAAATTCTTACAGATTTTCAATTTTAAAGAATGCTATAGCATTATAATTTTAATGTAGTATTAAATATGCTGGAAACTAGATTTTTTGTAGACATTTAAATTCATATTGAAAAACGTCAAATATGTGAAGGAATACATAGCTTTAAATTTTATTTAGGAGTTAATCCCAAGGAGGTTTTTTTTTAAAATTTGAAATAGGGTCTCATGTGTCCCAGCGGGCCTTGAACTTACTGTGTATTCAAGGGGATGACTTTGAATTCTGATCCTCCTGCATCTACTTCTTGGTGCTGGAAGTCAGGCATGTGCCACCATTCTGGGTTTGTTATTAGATTGGGTATTCCATTGTTGGGGAGTCTGTCATGCATTGTAGGATGTCTAGTAGTATCCATGGCCACTATCCCCTACATGCTAGTAGCAGTACTCCAGTGCTAATAAACAATGTCTACAAAAACTACCAATGTCTTCTGGGGAACAAAATTACTCTAGTTAAGAATTATTGCTCTGCCAGGTGTGGTGGCACACACCTTTAATCCCAGCACTCAGGAGGCAGAGGCAGGCGGATCTTTGTGAGTATAAGGCCAGCCTGGTCTACATAGTGAGCTCCAGGACAGCTGGGGCTACAAGGAGACCCTGTCTCAAGAAAAAAGACAAAAAAAAAAAAATTATTGCTCTAGGGGCTGGAGAGATGACTCTGTGGTTAAGAGTACCAGCTGATCTTGCAGAGGACCTGGGTTCACTTCTCAGTACCCACATGGCCGCTAACAATCACCCATAACTCCAGTCCTAGTGGATCCAACACCCTCTTCTGACCTCCATGGGCATTGCATGACACAGGTACACTTACATACATGTAGGCAGTATACTCATGCACATAAAAATAATAGATATTTAAAAAAGAAAGAATTGCTACTCTAAGCCTGGCATGGCATGGTGGTTCAGCCCTATAATCCCAGCACTTGGGAGGCTGAAGCAGGAGCATCATGAGTTCAGGGACATCCTGGACTACAGCATGATACCCTTTCTCAAGAAACAAAAAAAAAGTCGAAATTACTGATCTAGCCAGGTATAGTAGACCATACCCATCATTGTAGCACTCAAAGGCTAAATCAGAAAGATTGAGGGTTAACTACAGAGTTCTACCTCTCTTTCTCCCCCTTCCCTCTCTGTTGCTAAGTTTTGAACCCAGGGTCTTGCACGTGCTAGGCAAGTACTTTCCCACTGAGCTACAACCCTTTGTAAACCTTAGCACTATATATGCCTTTCTGTAAATGGTTATATAGAGAGCCGATTGTTTTTTTGTTTGTTTAAATGCTTTTTTTTTTTTTTTTTTTTTTTTTTTTTTTTTTTTTGTCTTTTTGAGGCAGGGTCTCCCTGTAGCCCCAGCTGTCCTGGAACTCACTATGTAGACCAGGCTGGCCTTGAACTCACAGAGATCCGCCTGCCTCTGCCTCCCAAGTGCTGGGACTACAGGCGTGCACCACCACACCTGGCTTTAAATGCTTTTTTAAAAATACTTCAATGCATTTAAAAAAATACTTTATTATATTTTTATTTTATGTGTATGTGTGTATTGCCTGCATGTAGGTAAGTGCACCTGTGTTGTGCAATGCCCGGGGAGGACAGAAGAGGCTGTTGGATCCCCTGGAACTGGAGTTATGGACAGTTGTTAGCTGCCATGTGGGTGCTGGGATTTGAACCTGGGTCTAATGCAAGAACAGCCAGTGTTCTTAACCACTGTGACATCTCTCCAGCCCCGAGCCGATTGTTTTGTAAAAGTTCTTATTGAGGGAAGAGATGGCTCATTGGTTAAGAGCACTGACTGGTCTTTCAGAGGACCAGGGTTCGATTCCCAGCACCCACATGGCAGCTAACAACCGTCCATTAACTCCAGTTCCAGGGGATCTGATGCCTTCTTCTGACCTCTTTGGACATTGCATGACACGGGTGCACTTATACACATGCAGGCAATACACTCATAAAATAAAATAATAAAATATTTTTTTAAAGAGTTCTTACTGAGAATTTTCTCCATTTTATTCTATGTTCTTTGTATCATCCAAAATAAGTTACTGTGTGGTTCGTGGTGAATTGATATACTTTCTATCAGTTATATCACAATAACTCTATAAAGCTTTTCCTTAACTACCTAGTATGTCTGAGCCACATTTGTAGGTCAATTATAGCATCTCCTTAGTCTTACATGATTGCTTTACCTTCCCTCGCCCTTTGTTTTATTTAAGTTTTCAGTTGTATTGAACCTGTGCCTTTTATTGTCAGCACCACCTTTAGATATTTAATTAAGTGCATTAAATAAATAAAATTTGTGGGTTGTATAGTTTGAACTTTCAGGATTCCAAGAGATACAGAAGTCACCATAGAATTTTTTATGGCATCATCTTTTAATTGTACTACTTCAGCCTAAAAATGAACGATGATTTATTGGAAACCTTAAGATAATCACAAACTAAATAGAAAATATCTTCCTCTCATAATAAAACCTTATAGTCTTTGTATTTTATTACATAAAGTTCTATTTTTAGCATTTTCTAAAGAAATCCATGATAATTGTTGATGCTAAATGTAGAGACAAGTGCCTGGTGTGGTGGTGCATGCCTTAATCCCAGCACTCAGGAAGCAGAGGCAGGCAGATCTCTGTGAGTTTGAGGCCAGCCAGATCTACATAGCGAGTAGCAGGCCAGCTGGGGCTACAGGGAGACCCTGTCTCAAAAAGACCTAAAAAAGCTGGGTGCCAAAAAAAAAAAAAAAAGTAGAGGCAAGCATTTGCTAAAAACTATCCTAACAACAATATCTTTTAAAAAAATATTTTATTTATTATTTTTATTTTATGTGTATTCGTGTATTGCCTGCATGTAGATAAGTGCACCTGTGTTGTGCAATGAGCACAGAGGACAGAAGAGGCTTTCGGATCCCCTGGAACTGGAGTTATGGACAGTTGTTAGCTGCCATGTGGGTGCTAGGATTTGAACCTGGGTCTTCTGCAAGAACAGCCAGTGTTCTTAACCACTGAGCCATCTCTCCAGCCCCTAAAAAGAATACCTGTAATATTCATTGAGGGCATAGATCCCAGCGGTACAGTGCTTGCCTACCATGCATGAGGCTGTATGTATAATCCTTAGCTACTCCCCCCTTCCCCTTGCCCCCCCCAGCAAAGATGATATTAAAAAATTTTTTCTTAAGCTAGGCATGGTGGCACATGTGATAGTCCCAGGCCTTGCGGGGCACAGACATGGTGAAGTTGGAGGTCATCTTCAGTCGTATGCAAGTGAGTTTGAGGCCAGCCTGGGCCACATGAGAGCCTGTCTCAAACAAACAATGTATTAAGTACCTAATATATGCTATATCTTGTGGTAGATAGTTTTATATATCTAATCACCACAGGCATCCTTTGACATATGTGATCTTAGTGCTATTTTTAACCTACGAGGAACCCAAGGACTGAAAGGGACCCAGATCATTCTTAATTTCAAAGTTCTTTGTACTCTGAGGCTGTAATATTACCTTTAGGACAGTGTCTGCGCAGCACAAAGTAGCTCTGTATTACTTGCTCATATCATGTAAGCTGTGGGTATAGATTAATATTGCTAAATGCTGAAATAATATATCAAGTCCTAGGAGGAGTCAAGATACAAATATATTTACGGCAGCAGCATCTACAGTAGTGTACTGGTTACTTGTCTTGTTGCTGTGACAAAATACCCAACAAAATCAAATTAAGAATGGAAGGGATTATTTGGCTCACAGTTCCAGGGATACAGCCTGTCATGGCAGGGAAAGTATGATGGTGGAGGTGGCAGGTCACAGTATACCCATAGTCCGGGAACAGCAATGAATGTCTTGTTCTCAGCACACTTAGTCCTTGCACTCAGTCCAAGACCCTAGCCCATGGAATGATACTACCCACATGCAGGGTGGGTCTTCCTACCTCAGTGATCTGTCTGCCTCTGCCTCCCAAGTATTGGGACTAAAGGCATGTTGCCACCATGCCAGGCTAGAGATGAAATTTTAAAAAGTAGTGTTTTGTAGTTCATTTTGTCAGCAAAGGCAAAGATATTGAACCAGGTGCACTGTGCATATATGTAAGTGTGACAGTTTTATACTTCTGTGTGAAGAGACCACTGTATTATATTTGTTTTCCATGTAAATGCATATCTTATACATAAATACAGTCCTTTAATTTCTTGTCGAAATTAAAGCCTTCTGTCAGATGTTATGTTAGGAGGTAATTTGTTACAATGTTATGTTTTTTGTGCATTGCCAGACTTAGGAAACAAACCACTTTTTCTGCTTTTAGTTAAATGTTTTCCAGCACCAAACATATCTTGTAAGGATTTCAGTGGTAATGAAACGCATTTTACTGGACGTGAAGTTGGTTTTTTCAAGCCCATATCTTGCCGAAATGTGTAAGTATACTACTGAAACTTAAAATGTTGTGTTTTGATTTCATGGACTGAGAGATTTATGGGGAAAATTCTGCAAATACAATGTTTATCTTTCTGTTTGTGTCAGAAAAATCCTCCATTTAAAATGTGCATATTTTATAAACGTAGTTCACCAACCAAGAGCTAAGTTCACAATGTGAGCTAAATAAAGCCTATAAATTGACTCAGATTTTGTTGATTCAAGGCAATCAGTTTATGCCACCAAGTGAGTTATAGATAAATTCTGATTTCAAAATTTGAGGGAGTTCTAGAATGCAAGTTGGTATTATATCATAAAAACTATTGGTAATTATTGGTACACTGTATTAGTTACTTTTCTCATTGCTGTGACAAAATATCTGACAAAAGCAAGGAAGGAGGAGGGAATCATGGTGGCAAGGTGTGAGGCAGCTGGTCTCAGTGTGGTCACAGTCAGAAAGCAGAGAGACGAATGCTGGTGCTTAGCTCACTTTCTCCTTTTTATTCAGTCTAGGATCATGGCCCATGGAATGTGCTGTCCACATTTAGGGTGGGTCTTCACACCTCAACCCAATCTAGAAACCCCTTTAGACATGGCTCTTAGGAGCTTCTGTATCCCGTCAGGGTGACAATATTAACCACCACACACTGAGTATATCCTGAAGCTTGGTTTCAGTCTTCGTAATAGGTGAGTGGTAGCAGACAAGATTCAGAAGTTGTTGGTTTTGTATAGTGAAAGAAGTGGCTTTGTTTCTTAGCCATTTTTTCTATTTAGAGGACTCCCAAGTTTGATTTTTGCTATTAGAAAGTTCACATTAAATTTTTCTGCTTTGAACTAGAAAATGTGATTTACTTTTCCAACTTTCTTTAGTTGCCTGCCTTGTATTTTCTCTTTTTATTTTTATTTTATATGTATGAGTGTATTGCCTGCATGTGTGTAAAGGGCACCCGTGTGGTGATGCCTGTGGAGGTCAGAAGAATGCATCAGCCCCTCTGGAACTGGAGTTACGAACGGTTGTTAGCCACCATGTGAGTGTTGGGAATCAAACCCAGGTCCTCTTATTATTATTATTATTAATATTTCGTCTTTTCTGAGACATGGTCTCCCTGTAGCTCCAGGTGGCATGGAACTCATTACATAGACCAGGCTGGCCTTGAACTCACAGAGATCTGCCTGTCTCTGCCTCCAGAGTGCTGGGACTAAAGGCATGCGTCACCACACCCAGCTTATTATTGTTTTATGTGTATGAGTGTATTGCCTGCATTTGTTTAAGTGCGTGTTTGCAAGTGCAATATCCGTGGAGGTCAGGAGATGTTGGATTTCCCTGAAACTGGAGTTACAGATGGTTGTTAGCCACCATGTGAGTGTTGGGAATCAAACCCAGGTCCTCTGCAAGAGCAGCCAGTGCTCTTAACTGCTGAGCCATCTCTCCAGCCCTCTCATGTTTTATGTAGTTGAATTTTACTTAATAGAATCTGTTTGCGGTCCTGTTAAGAAATAACAACTGTTTTGTTTTTCTACAACTTTTTTCTGAATCTTTAGAAAGGATTAGATAAGTAAAAATTGTTGGTCAAAATTATTTCCAAGCATGTGTCATTCAATTTTCAAATTATGGATTGGTACTTCTACCTTAAACGTTCCAAATGACAAATTATATATTAAGTTCTGGTTTAAGAAAGATATGGCTCTTAATGCAACTAAGTAACTCATCTGTTAAAAATACCAACTCACTCATGTTGGACCTTACAGTTTCATTACCTCAGGGTAAGAATGCCCTGTTACTTAGTTTCAAAGTTATTTTGATGTTTCTTTTGGTGTCTCAGGGTAGATTAGGCTCAGTGAAACTGAGTTGTGCTGATTGTGTTTACAAGGCATTGATGTCAGTTATAATGAATCTAACCATTAAAGAAAACAGATATTCCAAGTCTACTGGCCAATTTATTCCCCATCCCATAGTACAATCTACAAATCTAAAGTACAGTTTTTTGATGATCATTGAATCAGAACAATGAGATTAGGTTAATGGATAATTTTAGGTGTAAGAACTAACATGACCTGATGCATCATTTTCCCTTTATCTGTGTATTCAGTATGTGTGTACCAAAAGACCAACTGCCTGTCAGCTATAAGTTGGCTCAGTGACAAATTCCTAGTTGCTGCTATTCCTTTTCCAGTTTATATATTTTTCTTCTACATTCACTGACATATTCTTTTCAAAACCAGTTGACTAAAATTCCATTTCACTATTATAATCATTCTGTAGTATATTCTCCAGAAACTGAATTCTGGTAACCACTTGTATTGATTGTAAATTGCTCACCTATTTATACTGGTCATCTATGTTAGTTGGAGCAGGCTAAATTGCTTTAATAAGTATCTTAAGAATTTTTAATAGTTGCACACATGAGTTATTTTTCATGATTTTATGACCTAGGCTGAGTTGGCTTAGAGGTCTGGGGTATGAGCAGGTGCTGATAGTTCTTCACAACCACACAGGGCCCAGCTCTTTCATGGTTTTGCTTTCTCTGGAGTCCTCGAATGTGTTTTAAGGATCAAATGCAGAAATGTCACACACTTTGGTCTTCTTTCCATTGGCCAAAACAGTTATGACTATAGGTGGCTGCAAAGGCCAGCTAGGAATTATAGTTCAGCTGTATGTCCATAAGAAAATTAGAAATGGGTTGGTGAATAACTAGGCAAGCTCTGCTCTCCCATATTGTTCTTTAGCATGTTTACTTATATAGCTTATTGCTTTATAATATCATTCTTCTTACAAACCAAATATTTTGGAAAATTGTTTCTATATAATACTTAGCAGTTATGAAATTTTCTGTGTAATGCCATGCTGAAATTTACCAGCAATTCTTGTTATTTTGTCAAATGCTATTTATAGTCCATATTATAATCTTGCTACAACATTGGCTATTTCCTTCTTTTAAAATGCTTTCTTGGGCTGGAGAGATGGCTCAGTGGTTAAGAGCACTGGCTGTTTTTATAGAAGATCCAGGTTTGAATTCCAGCACCCACATGGTGGCTAACAGCTATTTGTAACTCCAGTTCCAGGGGATCTGACATCCTCTTCTGTTCTCCTTGGTCACTGCATGACATGGGTGCACTTACACACATGCAGGCAAAACACTCATACATATAAAATAAAAATAAGATTATTTCATTTCTTGTTTTCTAGTATAAAACTCAGTAAGAATCCTTTTGTAATATCGAGCATGAGGCACAGAACAACACTCAGTGATGCTCGACTTAGGAGTCCTTTAATAGCTAGTAGTCAAGATGGTCTAATGCCCCCTTCAAAACTCAACCCAGGGGGGAAGCAGAGCAGGGTTTATAAAGCTTAAAAAATCATAATTACATCATGCTGGGGCAAAGCCAATAACCATAGTTACATCAGATCACCATAGTTACACCAGACCAGGTCAGTTAACAAAGAGGTTTTCAGTTAACAAAAGGTTTCTAAATTTCACTTAGGAAAAACAAGTTTCTTAGAGTTGCAGAAACAATGGACTCCATAGAAATGCAGGTATAGCTGAATGAGATGCCGGTCTGCCTGGCTAGTTATAAGTTTCCCACAATGTACCCCCTGAAACTGCTTGCAAAAGACTGGTTCTGCCTGGGTGGCTGCAGTGGGAATGGCTGGGCAGAAACAAAGTAGGTAAAGCAAAAGTCAGCTAGAATAAAATGCAGTTAGTTTTGCCATTTCACTTTGATTGCTATAACTTAGCTTTCTTTTTTAAGATTTAGTGCACGTGTGCACATACTCATGTACATGTGAATGCCTATGGAGGCCTGAGAGAGAGAGTTCCTGTTTATCTTTTTAATTCATTCACCCCTTCATAAATTTTCATCTTTATATATGAAGTTTAAAACTGAACATATCATCTTTTCCTTCAAATAATTTTCTCACTGAATGGTATCTGTACTGTCTAGTTTCTTTTTGAGACAGTCTCCCTGTAGCCATAGCTGATCTGGAACTCCCTATGGAGACCAGGCTGGCCTTTGCTTCCCAAGTGTGTGAATCAAAGGTGTGCTCCACCACACCTGGCTCTAGTTTCTTAAGTATAGGTGTTATCCCAGTTCTTGGTAAACAGGCAGGAGGATCATAAGTTTGAAGCCAGCCTGGGCTATGTGGTGAGACCTTATCGTAAAAACAAAGAAACCAGGGCTGGAGAGATGACTGAGTGGTTAAGACCTGGCTGGGTTCAGTTTCTAGCACTCATGTAGTGGCTAACAACTGTCAGTAAGTCCAATTCTGGGAGATCCAGTGCCCTCTTCTGGCCTTCATGGACATTGCATGCATGTGGTACACTTACATGAGGCAAAAGACTCCTACATTAAAACAAAAACCAAACATACAAGCAAAAAGAAAAAATTTTGGTGTCTTTCTTTTCTCCTTAATCTCCGTAGTGTCTGAGTGCTTCTGCCTTCTTAGTACTTACCAGTTTTCTTTACTTCTTTTTTCCTGCTGCTCTGCTCATTAGATTACCACCTGAGCTTCTGCAAAACTCCTTA